ATATGCAAATTCAAAATTTCGCGATTTTTCCAGTTTTTCAATTTTGTTTTTGCAATATCTCGAATGCTATTATAGATACAGGAATGGGCTTTTGTTTGTTTAAAAGGGGACACTTGGGGCTATTGAAGAAAAAATATTTTGGAAAAAAATTTTTAAAAATGCCAAATTTGTCAAATTTTTAATTTTTGAAAATCGTCAAAAATGAAGACTGCCATTAAAATTTTGGCTCAATTTTTTTTGTATGATACCTTTTAATGATCTTAAAAGATCCTGAAATTTTTGGATAGGGGTTTTTTTTTTTTAAAGATATATATTTTTGAATTTCAAAAAAAATTTTTTGAATTTCAGAAAAAATTTATTTTTGTTTTTTGCAACTTCTATACAAGTTAAAGTTATGCAGATACATAATATTGTAATTTTTAGTATTTAGAAATCAAATGCACGACGTGAAAATATTAAATAATAAATTAATTTCAACTTTTTTTTATTTTTTAGACATAATCTTAAAGTCTGACTTAACGAATGATATAATTTTTTATTTTTTTAACACATGATATATTTTGTCCGTTTCTTCACTTCAATTACAGTTTTTAACCTCAAATAACTCAAACAGATATCAATTTTCTATAAAAATTAGAAATTATTTCATGAGAATATCAATTTTTTTTTCGTTCTTTCGAATACTTATTTGCTTACGAATTTCTTCACATACATAGTTCTTAATCTCAAATTACAAATTATTCCCATGTTAATAAGACGTCAAGTGGCATCAACAACTTTAAATGAAGTAAAAAATGGACAATTAACAAATTCTATCATGCGTTAAGGATGACTTATTTTAAGGATGCAAGATTATGTCTAAAAAATGAATAAAAGTTGAAATTAATTTATTATTTAATATTTTCCCGTCGTGCATTTGATTTCTAAATACTCAAAATTACAATATTATGTATCTGCATAACTTTAACTTGTATAGAAGTTGCAAAAAACAAAAATAAATTTTTTTCTGAAATTCAAAAAATTTTTTTTGAAATTCAAAAATATATATCTTTGAAAAAAAAAAACCCCTATCCAAAAATTTCAGGATCTTTTAAGATCATTACAAGGTATCATACAAAAAAAATTGAGCCAAAATTTTAATGGCGGTCTTCATTTTTGACAGTTTTCAAAAATTCAAAATTTGACAAATTTGGCATTTTTCGAAATTTTTTTTCAAAATATTTTTTTTTCAATAGCCCCAAGTCTCTCCTTTTAAACAAACAAAAGCCCATTCCTGTATCTATAATAGCATTCGAGATATTGCAAAAACAAAATTGAAAAACTGGAAAAATCGCGAAATTTTGAATTTGTATATCTTTCGAAAAAAAATTTTTTACTTTTTTCCTTTGGCAGAACTTCGTTTTATAATAAAAGAAAACTTCTGACCAAAATTCATCCAAATTGAAAGGGGTCGATTCCAACTACTGGTCGATTTGACATGGAATGACCCTATAGCAAAAGCAGATCTAATCAAGGGCAAACGAGATACAGGGGCATAGGTTTCTCTGAGATCATAATTATTATTATCTTTAAAACCTCGAATCACTAATCGCGCTTTGTATTTAATTTGATTGTCATTTTCAATTTTCTTTTTGAAAACCCACCTAGAGTCTATGATATTTAATCTTTTACCGTTTTTCATTTTAATAGGTCGGTCAACTAATGTCCACACACTATTTTTATTCATAGAATTAAGCTCATCTCTCACAGCATTTTGCCAAAATTCCCGTTCTTTTGATTCCATAGCATCTTTAA